AGATTTTATAAAATAAATTTGACTCGACTCGACTCGAAAAAAGAGAGTCGAGTCGAGTTGATCTTTAAACTTGACTCGACTCGACTCATTCGGAACTCTAGCCGCGGTTGAGTAATAAAATTGTTGTAATACCATTAATGCATTATTCAATGATTAACATGTAACAAGTATAATAAGCAGCAAGCCACATAAAATCACACAATATTGAGAATGCAAAAATACGCGAAATGCTAACTTTTTTATTAATACTTGCCTATTAATTAGTAAAATGAACGAAAATGTTAATCGCAATACTTTACGAAAGTGTAAATCCAAAGAAAATAAAACATCTGAAAACCATAAAGCACGCCTTACCAAACAGCATGAGAGATACTACCAAAAAAAAGTAACAGAAACTACTGAACAAAGAGATGTGCGTTGAGTATATGACCGCGAAAGAAACCGCTGAAGATTAGAAACTGAAACTAACAGCCGTAGAAAATCGAATTGAATCTTGAGGCCAAAACAGCCGCAGCAAAAGCTGCAGCAAGATCAAGCCATAAGACAACAATAGTCGCAACAAGACCACATGAGATTGCAGCAGGACTAAGCTATAAGACAATAACCGCAGCAGGATCATATGAGAATGCAGCAGAACGGAGCCCAGCAGAATTGACCTAATCAAGGTCAGAGCAATGAAAATACATCTCATGCTGCTGAGTTAAATAAATTCGAAATAGGTCTTTTACGGAAATTTCGTACTAAAGTAGATAAATTCAAACATTCACTGTGCCCCATATATAATGAGAGTTTTCCATTGATAATACTTGTAAAAGGGGAATGTCATCATTGTTATTCTAAAAAAACATTACCAAAAAAATTCTCAAAAGAGAATAACATGGATCTGGGTGAAGTACTTAAAGAGTTGCAGAGATTTACAGAAATAGAAGAGATGTTAATTGCACGAGTATTTCTTGTAATGTCTGTTTATAGACTCCACGGAGAACAACTTGGGTATCGAGGAAATGTAATAAACTTCTCCCAAGATGTAAAAGAATTTGCAACTCACTTGCCTCAGAATCTATCGTTATTAGATGTACTTATTGTACGCTGCCAATCAATAAGTAGTTTAGAATTCAGGGATTTTAAAGTTCGTCATGCTAAGATTGCTTATGCATTACATTGGTTGAAGGAGAACAATTGTTACTACAATAACATTACCATTGATGATGAAGTTCTACAATCCTTACCTGTTGATGGCTTTATTGATGACCAGCTTCAAGAGACTCAGATAGTTGAAGATTTGAATAATAATGAGAAAGATGATGTAATTACGCGTATCTTTATTCCATTACTTTCTTTAACTCATTGAAAAGAAGTCACCATATGAAACACCCTTAATCATGTGCAGAATGAAGACAGTCCTATCATAGAATGGCTACAAATAAGTAATTTTCTCATTAATGAATTTTAAACTCCAGGATATATTGCATGCGCATTCCTAACCTTATATCTGAATGGTTATGCAGATTTTCATGCAGAATGTATTAGGGATATGAAGCCCGCTAAGTATTTTAAATACTTTCTTCTATATAGAGACAGAAGATTTGCGCGTTATACTTATTGGAGATATTTTGCCTTAAATTCCAAATACATTGGAAGGCACTACAAGAAAGTAAAGTATTTATTAAACAAAATCTCACTAATACACAAATCACCGTTTTGAATATTCAAGAAAGAATTATTTAAGGTGATAACTGTATTGCTGATAGAATCATGTGACTTAGTAAAGGTCTACGCGGTTTTTAGCAATTTTGGAATGCACAGTATTAGGAACTATCTGACATGATCAAACAGATAGGTTTATGAGGCTTAGTATTCTTTACATTCAGTACAGCTATTTTACACTAGCCTGAACTTCACAGTCTCATGCTGTCTGATGAAAATCCCACAGAAGGAGAGACAATGTCTAGATGCAATCACTAAAATATCGTTAATAATCCTCATATTGCAGTTTGGTTTTTCAACAAACGTTTTGAGATTTTTTTAATGATATTCTAAAACAGTAATGGGATTTAGAAGACTGGTGGTATAGGTTCGAATGGCAGTACCATAGAAGCGTTCATATGCATGGAATTGGAAAAAGACAAGATGCATCTGAAATAGAATAGGATAAAATGAAAGAAGATGAAAACAAAATAAACGAAGTAATTAAATACCTGGATATATTAGTTACTATGATAAATTCAGGATTAGATTCTCCAGTTCCTGACAGGTATCCATGTAAAAAATGTAGTGACGAATAATATTACGACCAGCAAAATTATATTAATTTGATCAATAAGCTACAGTGATACATGCGATGCAGTCTTTCATACTATCTTTACGTTAAAGATGGACATCAATCCTGCAGATTTGGGTATCCTAAAGAAAGTATTAAAAATATATTTATACGCGAAGATAATCACAGCCAGCTTGAACTTGTAACTAAAAGAAATGATCCAAGTATCAATACACATAGCAGATTTCAATTGTAAGGTTGATATGCAAATGTTGACCTAAAGCCGATCCTAAGTATATATACAGCTTTGCAGTATATTTCGAAATATACAAGCAAAGCGGAACTACGATCTTCTATTTTCTCAGAGATATTGAATCAAATTCTTAGAAGTGGTGAACCTGATGACCCATTACTTACCATGATCCAGAAGTTACTATTTCACAGTATGGCAGAACGTGATATATCTGCTCAAGAAACTTGTCACCTCCTTCTTGGTATTTTACTGTATCATTCAAGTAGGGAATTTGTCTTCTTGAATCTCAATAAAGAAACACCAAGATAGATTTATAGCACTAGGGAAAGCAGAGGCTTTACTACAGTAGATTCTAGGCAGACTGAAGAGTAACCTTTAGAAAGTTATTGGAAACGACCTACAGAACTTGAGAATCTTACATTATTTCAGCTTCATTTAAAATACAAATTTGCTAAAAATCATTGAAAAGAATGTAATCAAGAAAATGCTATGCATATCTTTCCATGCCTATCACCCTTATATAAAGGTCCTCAATGGAAAAAGTTTTATCGTGTAAAAGTTCTTTTTTATATTCGCCACTGAGATCTCTAACAATTAACTGAAAAAGGAACTATTGCATGATCAACTTTATATGAAAGTTACCTCAAAGAGATCAATTCTGACCTGATAAATCTACTTGGGTCTCCTATAGATAATAAAGAAAACAAAATAATTGATGAAGAGAATGATAAACTATTTAAAGATGACGAACAAGATGAACATTGACTTGATTGGATGGTTCTAGCAGAGATGGGTCTAAACGCAGCCATTGAAAGTTTTTCTGACCTAGAATCTTATAATATAGATTGAAACTATAACTGAATTGGTGATTGCAGGAAATGATACTCTAATACAGACTTAATGAATGTTGATACATTTGTGATCAGAGCTTCTGATGAGCAAAAGCGTAACGTCAAGGAAAAAGTGACTGACATTGTGGGCTATTAAACACTAAATGAAAACAAAAGATAGTTTTTAAGTGAATAGAATCTTATTACAACAATATACTCAAAGGCCATCAAGTTGAACTACTAAGAATTATCATAATGGGAACTGCAGGAACTAGAAAAACTTACCTTATTAATGCAATCTGAGGTAGATTTCACAAGATGAAAGGAACTGAATCTAAGTCATCTGTACTTATTCTTGCACCAACAGATGTTGCAGCTTTCAACATCAACGGAGTTATGATCCATTTGGCACTTTTTATTCTAATAATCGTTAATAAAAATCTTGACATAAGTGGTGAACGATTGAAGCAGCTACAAAAGAAATTAAAAGATGTAATCTATATAGTAATCAATGAGAAAAGCATGGTTGGACGCCAAATGCTTAGTCTAATTGACATAAGATTACGACAGGCATTTCTTGAATATAGTAATAAGTCTTTTGGAGGTAGATTGATTATTTTGTTTGGTGATTTCAGCCAACTTTCTCCTGTACTTGATCTTCCTATGTATGCAGAAAATTCGCGAGAACTGATGTCTAATAACGGTCATGCAGTGTACAAGCAATTTAAAGAAGCATACAAACTTGATGTTATTCAGCGCCAATCTGGAAGTAGTAAAGAGCAACAAGACTTCAGAGATATCCTCTTAAGGTTGCGTGATAGAAAATCTACATTAGATGACTGGAAGGCACTTATTACACAGTTTGAAGGAGAACTAAGCAGAGCAGAGCGTAGTAGATTCTCCAATGCTATGTTTATCTTGACAAAGTGATCTGACATTAATGCTGTCAATATAGAACAGCTTAGGCTTCTAGATGTTCTTGTTTCAAAAATTCTTGCAGTGCATATAGGTAGCAATGAAGCCAAAAAAGCTGACTCTGATATTGCACATGGTCTTGAAGCAAAATTGTTATTAACAAGAGATGTACATGTTATGTTAACTTTAAACTTATGGACAAAAGCTGGATTAGTCAATGGTGCAATAGGAACTGTTCAGGATATTCTATCCAGAGAAGGCCAGGAGTCACCTTCTCTTCTTGTAGCAGTTTTCGTTTCTTTGACAATTACAAAGGTTCTACTATTACCAGTTTAGAGAGCACAAAAGTTATCCCCATTGCATCTATTCAATGTATCTGAAAGGGTAAATCCAGAATATTATGTTCACGCCTACAATTTTCTCTTCATCTTGCGTGGGCCATTATAGTACACAAAAGTCAAGGACTCACATTACAAAAAGCTGTAATAGATCTTGATAACAAAAAATTTACAGCCAGCCTTTCGTTTGTTGCAATGTCTCAGGTCTGTGAACTTAGAGACATCCTCTTCAAACCCTTTAATTTTGAGAGACTAAAGCGTATCAAAGAATGCAAAAAATTAAGTAAGAGAAAAGAAGAAGAAAACCGCTTGATTTTTATGGTTCCTGGAGATTAAATTAGTTATAATGTAATATACAAATAATAAAACTTTGCTTTTAAAATAAAATAAAATTTTAATTAAATAAAGCTTCGATTTTATTACATATAAACTCTAGTCTTTACAATGAAATAAAACTCTATATAATATAACACTACTATAATTTTAAAATTGTGGTAAAAAAAAAATGAAACAAAAAAATGAAACAAAAAAGATGAAACAAAAAGAGATGATCTATATATCTTTGTATGACCGTTTCTATTTATCACATAGGACATGATTGTGTGACTAAATTTTATTTATTTTGATCTTTGATTCTTATCGTACATGTAGCATGACAAGAGGAAATTTCACGTGATGATTAGATTTTTACACTAATTCCTAAAAGTATAAAGTCTTACGCTTCACTCTGGACAATAAATTTTATAATTAGTTTATATTATATTAATTTATTGATTTTTAGTATTAAAGGTTTAAATCAGCATTTATTTTGATTGGCTAACTAGTTTTAGAAGGTTTTGCTAGTAAAGTCCAGTTTCGCTAAATATTGTCCAGTTTTGCCAGTTTCGTCTTAATTTCAGATTATCGAAAAGTTTCAGATTTTTGTTCTTGAAAGCTGAAACGTTTCAACCTTAAGATTTTGGTTTTGCCCACAACTTTAATATTAAATTTAATAAAATTATAATTAATATTAATTCTTTTTTAAATTTATATAATAAAAAATTTTATATAATTTAAAAAATAATGCTTAAAGATTAAGATATTAAAGATTATTTTAAATAGAGTAAATATTATTTTAAAATTAGAAATAGATAATATTTATTTAAAAGATTTTAATAAATCTCAAATGCAAAAAAATTATCATTTCTTTTAAATAAGATTTAAGTTTAAAATTTATAAAAGATAAAAATATATAAATTTGCTTTTATATAATTAATATGCAGTTTATTTTAAAAATGAATATTATAAAATAAAATTATTTAAGTAAATTTATAATTTAAAAAAATTTTTTTATATTAAGTAATTTATATATAATTTTTTAAATATTAAATTATAAATGATATATTATAAAATTTAAAATTTATAAATATTTATTAAATTATAAATTAATTTGTATATAATACCACAAAGTTATTTAAACTAATATAAACAAATAATATTTTAATTTATAAATTATAATATATTTGTATTAAATTTATTTTCATTAAAAAAAATTTATTGGATTTAACTATATAACTATAATATTAATTTTAATAATCAAAATTTCTTATTAATTTAATTTTAAAAGTAATCAGATTTAATTAAATTATAAATATTTCTATTAAATTAGTATTTAAAAACAATTAAATCTTAAAAAGATACAAACTTTAAGTTATATTATATTAGAGATAAAAACCATTGAGTATAGAATAAAAAATTAAAGATGATATTTTTATTTTAAACTCTGTTTTTTAGTTTTGAGTATATTGATAATAGTATTTAAATTTTTAATTTATTTTTATATTAAACTAATTAAAGAGGCTTTAAATGATTAATCAAAAAGACTTATAAAAGGCTATCCTGCTGAATTTTTATATAACTACCAAATTTGTATTTCTTATTTAATTTGCTTTAAACTTTTTTAATATTTGATTAATAAATTTTATTTAACTTTAAATTTAATTATATAGATCATATGATTTATTATATATATCTTAATATTCTATATTTTGATTCATTTCAATATTTTATGAATATTGTATAGTATTATATTTATATTAATTAATATTATAAAGTAACGTTAACTGCTGTAAGTATAATACTATATAATATCTATATTATTTATAGCTAATACAAATTATACTTCTTAAAGTTTATTAAAGATTATTTAATGATAAACTATTTTTTTTTATATCTTTCTCATTTGTATTTTTTTTATTTTTATAAATCAAATTTTCTTTATTATTATTTTTAATATATTACATGAAATAATAGAATTTATAAAATAACTTTAGTAAATATAGTATTATTTTACAAAATTTAGATAATTTATATATAATAATTTTATGATTTTTGAATAGCTTCAAGTGAAAGTTTGAAAAAAAAATATTAATATTTTTATGAAATAGATAAGGTTAAGAATATAGAATATTTTATCAATAATTGGATATATGAAATAAAGCATTTTGTACTAATAATAATTATAAGAGATTATTAAAAGAAATATTTGATATAAAAGAATTGGATTCTCAATTATCACAATATTTAGCAGTAATAAAATAATAAAATAGCAAATATATTCTATTTCTTCAATTAAAACAGCTATTTATTACTATTTAAACCAAATTTCTATTATATTAAATTGCAATTTATATGATAATAAGATATTTAAATATACTGATAAGATCAGGATATAGTGAAAAAATGAGTTAATGGATTGATTAATGAAAAAGTTCAACAAGTTTGAAACTATTATTTAATGGATAGATCTACACTTAAAAAAATGTGCACTATTATTAGATTTATATGGTAAAGAACATTTTATTTAATGGTAGAAAATTTCAAAATAGATTATGATATACTTATTTATCAATCTAAAACTAATCAAAAAATGAAAATTGAAAATTGTAACAAAGCTGATAAACTTATTTATTCAAATATAAATTGAAGTTTATAAAAAATATTTGTCTTATCATTCTTAACTATCTGAGCTAAACTTTTATCCAAGAGTATGATGAACAAAATGGTAAGAAATTTAATATCTCTCTTTATTGTATTAAATTATCCTAACAGTTATTTTATAATTTTAGCTTTATATACAGGATGCTGATATAAAACAATTCATATAAGTCAAAATCAATTAATAATTTTATAAATGAAATATCAAAATATGTGAAATTGATTGTACTAAACAAAAGATCACAAATATACTGGATGTAAGACACTTGTATAAAGGCCTCAAAAATTGGGATTTTCAAGAGATTCTATGAAATTAGCAACTTGACACAAAAATATAGAAAGTTTAGATTCTTATGAATTATCTAGAGATCAAGAACAAATTGGAATGTTAAGTAATTTGGTAGATAATATACATAATAATAATATTAAAAGAAAACGAGGTATATCAAATTTTTTTGTAATTCTGTTAATAAAGAAATATAATTTATAGAAAGTTTTTTATTTAGAAGAATCAGATGCTAATCTACTTGATAATACAAAGAAAAATAAAGGATTTTCTGCAGCTAAAGGTTAGAAATATAATTAGAATTTTGCATTCATTTATTGCATTTAAAATCAAATTTTTTTTTAATTTAGATTTTATCCAACGTGAAATGAATGATTTGAAAGGAGCATCTGACGATCCTAATTTACGAAAGCCATTAAAGAAAATGATTCTAACAACACAACTTAGAAATTAATATGTACACGAATAATTGGTTAATTTGATAAATAGTGAAATTTTAAAAAAAGTTAATTTAAAAATTAACATTGCAGACACCTAAATTCTT